AGAGTTTGAAATCTGGAAGCTTTACAGGAAGATTGGCAGCCTTAAGAACCTCTCTTCCTATCCAGTTTAGCTAAGAAAAGATTAAGAAGTTCCTTTATCTAAAAGCACCTATATCAGGAGTAGTCTTTTGACAATATTTAGCAGGAAAGGAGATAATGAGATTTAATAGCTGGAAACTGAAGCTTGACTAATTCAAACTATAAATAGGGCACTTAAAAAAAAAAGGCAAATAAGGAGGATAATTAAGCATTGAAAGAACATCTAGAGACCTTATACCCTCCCCACCACTGAAGTCTTTACACGAAGAGCAGGAATCTTTCTGCATAACATGCTGTAGTTCAATTACTGGACCCAAACACAGGAGTTACTGAGTTAAGTTCTGTAACTCAAGTTGTATCAGAGGCATTTCAGGAATTCATAATGGTCCCTTCTGGTCTAATTATGAATCTACATACTTTAAGCAGTGGTTCTCACAGCGTTTGAGTGAGTTGGATGGTAACAGTGTTTGGGTCAATACTGACTGCATATTGAGCTATACTATACTAACAGGAGCTAAACTAGTAAAGCTGTGTTAACGTGCTCCATGTTGTTTATGACCTGAGATGCTAACTTTGTGGAAGACTGTCCCACAGGTATTTAATGATTTAATCGTCTGGTTTTGTACACTACAGGTCAGACTGGTGTGAAAATACAAATAGAAAAGAAGCCTCCTTGCAAGTTCAAAAATGTGCCAATCAGAAGACAAACTGGGACAAAAATGAAGGTGAAAGGCTGGATGACACCTAGAAATACTGTGTGGAAAGTCTTCACTGGGAGCAAGTCTTATAAGCTTCATAGTGCCTAGGAAGCTGGGCAGATGATGGGAAGGAAGCAGGTAGTAAAAACAATGCCCCACCCCTTTCAGTATCAAGGGTCTCTGCCTTCCTGCCTTCTGCATCTGCCAGACCCAGCAGGGAAGGCAGGAAGTGACTGGAAAGCCAGCCCTGATCCTAGCTGTGGAGACAACAGACAGTGGCTCCCACAGCAGAAGTAAACAGTACCAACTAAGGCAATGGGGAAAAAAAAAAAAGAAAAAGAACCTGAGATCTTGGGGATTAAAAGCACCAGTGGGAAAAGAACTGCTGTAGAACTGTTTCTGTGTTGGGTTTTTGTGTCTAAGTTTTGGGCAAAGCAAAGAAATGCCTTCTAAGTGTGGCAGCAAGTCCTCCCCAGGCTGGGGAAATGGCCCAGCAGCCACACAGATGGGGAAGCAGCTCACAGATGCTCAGAGGCAGCAAGGTATGGTCTGACCAGATGTTCTGACCAGACATGGTCAGAAATGCTGCAATGCCAGCTCCCATTCCCATTGGAAAGCACAGAAAAGGGACAACCTGGGTTCTGCTGCAACACACGCAGAAGTGCAAGTCTCAGCAGAGTAAAAAACAGCAGCTGGCAAAACCAGGATAGGGCAGAACACAGCATGGGCAACAAGAGACCCTGGGGCAGAGCAACCACCTTGGTGGCCAGCAACAGAGTGAGCATGGGATCACAGAAGTGCTGGGGGCACAGTTTGCATCCAGAAAAGGAGTGTTCCTGGGAGACAGCTGAGGACAAGAATGAGAATGTCTTCTGATAAACACAGACTCTCCCCCTGCCCCCTGAAATCCCAAACCCATTTGTCAAATGGCAACATGCTTGCTCCTGGCCCTGTTGCTCGTTGTCGCTGAAGTACCCCAAGAGTGTTAACACCCAAGGAAAGTTTAAAGCAAACTTCTCAATTTGCATCAGAACTGCTTCCCCTCCAAAAAGGAAAACTCTTTTCCATGTTCCCATCCTATTTCACTAATTCACCTCTCGCTGGCCAACAGTCCTTGGTGTTTCCTATTCCTCAAACATTAAATTATCTCAGCAAGAAAGTGCCTGGCTCTCACCCTGTCCCGAGCTCCAGTTTTTGTTCCAATGTCAGTGAAATGCCTTTCCTCCTTTGCAGCATCCTTTTGTACACAGCTAAGATCATCCTTCCTCCTTTCCCGCTGCCTTTGTCAGCACACATATTCTGTAGCAGATAGCCTGGGCACCACGAGGATTTAAAATTGAGACTCATAGCAACTTGAAAAATACCCCCAGCACAGATACACTCCACTTGCCACAGGTTTATGAAACTTTGACCTTGTGTCACAGAACATCGCTGAGCAATTCCATACTGTGCAAGGAAACATAGTACTCCCCATCAAAATAAAACCTCCACATTTGTGCCTGTCACGAGAAATTAGCTAAATACTTGACAAAGAGTGCAGGGGAAGTGGGTGAGGTGGGAATATAATATAATGTATTTAAGAGTAATTTCTCTTGGTTGAGAAGAATATTTAGAAAGATCAAACCAGATGGACCTTCATAAAAAAGGAAAACAAGTCTAAAGCCAGAGAGCTTCCCCATTTCCATAAACACAGAGACACCTCCTCATGCCACCCTGCACCCTCCTCAATCCAAGAGGGTAAGAAGCCTCCACGCTGACACTCACGCAGGTGTGCTGGCAGTCTGATCGCGTCTTCCTCCATCCTTATCGTTCGCGGCACTGGGACATGTAGTGGTGTCGAGGAAGTGTAATTTGGTACCGGGCTCACTGGAGGTGTGTACGAAATTCTTTCCTGCTGTTAAAAAGAAAGCGGGGAGGGGGGAAAGACAGGGAGGACAACGTGAACTTTGGAACAGAGGTGTGAAACCAAGGCAGGGCAGGGGGAAGTGGGTGGAAGGAAGGAAGTGTGCGCACACAGAGGGGGCGAGCAGCACTAGTGATGCAGCCGGCTGCCCAGGGAGCACACAAGCGCTGCGCAGGAGACACGCTGCTGCAGCTTTCAGGGTGATGGGGCTACTTTTCAAAAGGCCCACCAAGTTTCCAAGGGTTGTCTCAGAAATCTGCTGAGGGAGGAAAGGGAAGTGATACACAAGCTGGGGGACTCTGAGGGTTTTATGTCTGACAGCAACCTCACCATACATGTACTGTTACAGAAAGTGCCAAAACCACTTTATCTTATGCTAACAAGTCAGTTATGATCTGAGCACATATATTGTTTAACACTTTACTCTTTCATAGCATTTTAAAGACATTAAGCAATTAGTTTTCTCTTTGCTGCAGAAAACCACTCTATCACTAAAATCTGTTCTATTTACCATGGAGTAATGTACTTTTTTTTCTTGCCTAAAGTACCTATTAGCACTTTCTTTGAAGTTCTTTAACTTGCAACCAACCAAGTAAGTCAGCATACAGAAAACAGCTACACAAGGACAGTGAAACAGACCTAAAGGGCAATTTGTGAATGTTACATTAGTTTCATAATAGTCACTGAAAACGCCTGCCAAGAAATTTAAGACTGAAATTTCATCTGATCTGATGGGAAAATTGTTCCATATTCTAATCCTTACTCCAATCACAGCACGCATTATACCCTTTGTAAATAAACATAGCCACAGTTTTACAGGAGCATAAAAAAATCATTATCGTGTGCTTCCTGGAAGGCAATGTGCGTTATTCCCCAAAACCCTGCTGCTGACATTTAACAATGGCAGTGCAAACAGTGTGGATTTACATCCACGGACAGAGGCAGAAGGAGCTACCTCCTTTCTGAGCATTTGCAGGAGAGTGCATGTGCAATCCCCTACCCCATCTCTGGCAAGTGGAAAGGCAAAGTTGGTGCTGGAGCACGAGAAGGCAATTACTTCCATTACAAACCACAACATTATCACAGCAGTGCAGCAGGGAACTAGACTGAGGCTCATGGAGGTACCTGCAGGACATAACATTAGCACCCTCCCCACCAAAGGGAAGGGGAAGTTTGTACAACATGAGTAAATAACAACTACATACACCATAGCAGAAAACTCTTTAGGCAAACTAGGTGACATGTCCAGAAAGAAATGGGGCATGGAATGCTGAGGACGTCCTGCATCTGTCAGCCACCAATTCAAAGCAAGCCCAGTTCATTCTGGTGCAAGGTGCTGCTATCACCTCGCTGCTCAGCAGCTCACAAAGAACCAGAAGTTTTGCCTCAACGTCCTACCACTATATTACAGCCACCACTGATGACAGTCATGGCAGAGAAGCCTGGTGGCTGGTAGAACATGAACTATTCTAACTATACGGCATTTAGATGGAGTGGGAAGACAGGCCTAGTTCACTCCATCATCACTAGGCTATTTCTGTGAATAAAGCCTTCACAGCTTCCAGCTCAGTACATTTTAACCAGAAATCATTCAATCTTATGCTCCAGTCTTCCACAAAGCCCTTTAGCATCTTACTGTGTCCACCCAGTTTCTTTCTATTCATCATTGTCCAGGCAACAGCAATCCGTTGGCTCCTATCAATTTAGTTTTTCATAGTTAGCAAACACAGACATTCATTGAGATGTGGCGAAAGACGTACCAGTGGAACTACAAAACATTACTCTGCTTTCAACTGATGCAACTCCTTCCCTGACCCGAAACAGCTGACTCTGTGCCTCACGTTCCCACAAGGTGCAGCTCTCTGTGCCCATTCTGCAGTCTTGCTGACCATTTGCACCTTCCACTCTTGGTACATACCCAGCAATTCCCAACAAGACCAGCCACTTTTTAGTGTTTCCTGCTGCGATGCACAGCTCAGATAATCGAACCACACTGCAGCTGCTTGTTCTGTGTGCTGGATGAGACTGAACCCAGGACACAGGAGATGAAATTAAATCTAGAACCCTGTGCACTTCCCTCAGCACCCAGGAGGTGTTGTATCAAACTGAGACACTACGCTTCCAGTACCTCCTGCCTTTCTCTCCACACTGTTCCACCTCAAAGCCATATGGTAACCTTATTTATACCAGACAGATTCATTGAGATTTTGCTGTTATAAATATATACATGAGAGTCATTGTTTCCTAGTATTCATGAGAACAGGACACTAAAAATCAAAAAGAAGTTGTGGAAATACTTTTTCCACACACTTTTGATGTCCACAATAATGTGTGAATTGGTAGTATCTGCAGAACACATTTAACAGGGCACAAAGGAGAGTTAGCTGTTACTGCCTTTGAAATGCCCTCTCTTTCTAATCCTGCATTTTTTTTTCCAGTACCTTTAACCCAAATATCAAAGCAATTTACAGACATGAGGTAAGTCTTTTTATTAGACACACAGACAACCTGAGTTACAGGAGTAAAGCTCAAGTGAGCTGAGCAATTTCAGAGTTAAGCTGTCTTGGAAAAGGACAGCATGTGCCTCTCAAGGGCAATAGATGTAGCAAGTGCATCCTGAAAGAGTAGCCCTTGTAACTGTTCTGGCCAGATTTCTAAAAGGTGTGGAATGGTAATGGCACAGGAAGGTCAAGGCACTGGGCTTGTGGAAAAGTGCACTTCGTCCCTCTTTGCAGCCTGACTCAGTAACATGGCTAGAACCAGGACTGCAAACACCAGTCCAGTTCTGCAACCTACTGCAGCTCTGTGCTTCAGCCACACATAACTGCCAGCCAACACATTCCCACGAACACACAAGGTCACATTTGCTCCTCCAGGCTTTTTGAGGCTTTTTAGAGTCACACTTCCAGGAGGTACCTGTTGTGCTCACACCACTGTGAACAGATTTGCTTTAACCTTCACATCTCCAGAACTGCCTAGTGCTTCTTTCTGAGAAGTCCATCGAACAAGAACATGTCTGGTTATCTCATGCTTCTAAGGTTATGCACCCAGCTACTCCACTACTGGGAATCTTCCTGAAAGAGTCCCCTGACCTATCAGTTTAATATTCCCCTTTGCATTTAGGCCAAGAATAGATGGTTCAATGGCAGGTTTGTTCAAGCAACGGCTTGGGAGGAGGGGTAGGTATCACTGGTAGCAGAATCAGCCTGAACCCTGTGTGTACTTGAGCAAAAAGCCATGCTGTAACTTAGGTCTATTGTTAAGAGTCTAAACCAATACATATTTCATGCAGTCTTTTGAGTTTATTGCTGACGAGTGCTAGGAAAAAGCTTGGCATTACCACATTACAGATTTGCCTCCTGCCAGGGGACTCAATAAACATTTAACCCCACAAGTGACAAATGCTCAGCCCCAAACAACTGCCATCTGCAAGCAACTTCAAAATAGCAGCTCTCTACTATTTTGCCAGTAGCCACAATGAGGTGGACGAAACAGTTGGCATATTGCTTGCTGTCATCATTTTTGAAAGGCTTCTTCAGCTCACAGTGAGTCAGGAAAGTTTCACCATGACATTTCACCTTGGCTACTCTTCCTGAAGACATGCATTAAGTCAGCCTTTATGGAGACCCTCCTTGGGGTGGGGTCTGGTGGCTAGGGCTCCAACAGTGCCACCCAGACAACCTGCTAAGAGCGCAGCATGCTTTTAGCTGCCCGACATAGCAGAGACAGAAACAGATGGTTAGAAACAAGACAAGCTATGGTTTTGTTCTCTTTGTACTACAAAAGTACAAAATACTAATATCCAGGTGCTGAAAAAGCCTTAGATCAAGCCATCCTGACTAAAAAAGAAAGGTAACTCAAAAACTGTATTGATCATGGCTAGTAGAAGTGTACGTAACAGCTGACTAGACTCCCAAAGCTATCAAAGCACACCCTGATTCCAGTCTGGAGAACTGGGAAGATCCTTTACAGACAAAAATGTACCTGAACAGTTAGAAAATTCTGTCCAGAACACAAATAATTCATAGAGGAACAGCAACAACAACTATAACAGTAACAATTCAAAACTGCAAACCATGGTTTTTAAAAAGTCTAACAGTTGAAGATGAGGCTGCAAGTAACAACAGCTTCTCGCCTTTGCTAAAATTACACCCTTCTAAACTCCACAGCAGCTGCCTTCATTGTGAACGCTCTCTGGCTTGCAGTTCTTTTGTCCCTTTACCAGCTTCACTCAGATGGCAGGCACAAAGGCCACCCATGTTTTTGCAGAGATGGAAATACAACAGGTAAGAAAGAATGATGAGCAAGCCCTCATGTTGTCCCAGTGACACAACTACTTCAGTAGCTGGAGAGGTGGGATACTGAAAGGACTTTTTTTAATTGATAAAGCAAAGAAATGGTTTACCTGTTCAGCAATTTCCAGGAAACTAAAACAATCAACGTGGTTTGCAAATACCCTGCACTGGACAAAAAAAGCAGCTGACTCTTACCACTGCATAAAAACTTACTCCTACACTGCATGTAATAATACTACTACACAGAGCAAAATTAACTGAGAGTGAAAGCTGACACACATTTGCCCCTCAGGCTGCTGGCGTACGTGTGCCACTCCATGCCTGTCTTGTTGCATTTGCTGTTCATCTTCGCTTCTCCAAACAACCCAGGCTCCCCCTGCTCTCAGAGAAGCAGGCATCACCACGAGGCAGAGATACAGGGAGTTGTGCTCCTGTAACTATCAGGAAGCCAACTGTTGCAGGTGAAAGAGAAGAAAGTTACCTGTCACGTTGTCACAGGCCATCCCTGCTTACTCACAGAACAGTGGTAGCAGAACGCTGCTTTAAGGGAAGCTTCCAGCTCCCTGGGGACCATGTCATCACCCTGCTCCAACTCCTCACCTGTGGGACGCACAGAGAGGGCAGCACTAGCAGGTTTGCAGATGTTCTGGTGCCTCCTAGATTTCTGGGGAAGCTCTAAGGCTTAAAAAACCCAGA